GGTGAAGATGTTCACAATTTCTTCTGGACTCCACTTGCTTCATCAAATGATAAAGATTTTCCGTCATTGAATGATCCATGTGAATTATCTCGTTCATGAGTTCCTAGAATCCCCCTTTCTCTTAGCCTCCCTGCAGTTGTACTATCTGGAGATACATCTATGATGGACAAGTTTGGAACTCCGATGCTCAAAATTTTGGAACACCCTTCTTTCGATGCAACTCCATAATATTGAGAGATTTCATTAATATTAGCCTATTCATCTGAGGCAGTGATGATATTGTTATCTATTTCATGTGAAGCTTCACACCATAGTAGGATACACCATCATATTTCCTTTCGAGCTCTTCAATTACTTCTTTAGCATCTTAGAAGTTTCGAAAGTTATATCGTCTATCGCTTCGCCTAAAATTTATCCTCCAAGGTCGGCTTCTCCATCTATTTGATCAAAATTTTCTCCATTTTTCTTCCAATATTTTATCAAAGCCAATGATTGAACTCTATATGGCTGACGATTGATCAGAGACTTCAACTTCACGTACATCTTTCTGAATACTTTCTCCATAAAGGTCACCATCGGTATATATAGCTCCAGGCACTCCTTGTTCAGAAGTTATTTCCTTGATTTCTTCAATAGAAGCTACCATATCACCACTTGGAACATCCTCAAAAATTTCTAACTTCATGCCGACAATACCAACTTCTTGCTTCTCCAAGTTATCATCTATATTATATTCTAAATCCTCAATCCGGCCTCTTGCAAGATTGATTCAAATCATGGCATCTATTGCTAGAGCCTCAACTATTAAACACTTTTCCCACTCTTTTTCTTCTACTACAACTTTTGAGTCATATTGCTCTCCTTAACTCCACAATATCTTTTTATGTGCCCTATTTTGCCACAACGATAACATCTGAGAGGCTTCTTACCATAATAGTTAGAGGAATCTTCCTTCTCTCTAGGTGAGAGTGTAGCATATATCATGTTTTTCCTTTAAAGTTCCTCTTGTTGGCTACAAGATTATTTTATTCTCCTTTGACAAATACACTTGCCAACTTCTTGGCTAGTAGTTCTTGTGACAACAACAAATTTTTAACTCCTCTAAAGATGGTTGTTGATCCCATCCTTGAATTGACGTCACAAATGGAATATATTCAGGCTTCAACCCAAGAATGACTACTCTTCTCATTCGTGCTTCAGAAATAGCCTCTTCCGGATTCAACAGAGATATCTCGGAAAATCAGTTCTTGATCTTCAAAATGTACTCGGAGATAGAAAGGTAAACTTGAGTAGTATTAGCCAATTCATTCTTCAATATTTGCATCCTAGCTTCATTCTTTTTGTTGAACAAGCGATTGAGGGTTTCCCATATTTCATGAGATGAAGTACACTTTATAATGTGATCAGATAAATCAGAGGAGATTTCCTCTTCACAATGAACTCTTCCATTGCATTAATCTGCTTCCACTTCTTAAATGCACTGCTATTTTCTGATTCGTCAGAAGGAGGACTTGTGTCATTCCCATTAACAACATCCCACAAATCCTCCTCCACAATGTATAATTCTATTTATGTCTTCCATACCTTGTAATTGGACTTATTCAACAACTCCATCCCCAGTCTATAAACAGGACTGCTAAAATCCAACTACGCAAACTAGTTGAATCTACCACCAACCCGATCTTGAAATAACACTCGCAAGCTCATCTACGACTATGGCTCGGTACCATGTAGGGAATAGCAGAAGAAAATTATAATTGGGAAACCTTTTGCTAGCCAAGATCGTTAACTAAGATGGGAAGATTCAACTAAGGAAGATGAAACTAGAAGGGAGAAGGAGTATTTTGGATAAAAGAACTTTGTTATAGAAGAAGACTATTCGGTTTGGTTGCTTACAAATGTCTAATGCCACCCCTACTTATACTTGTATTGGGATGCTTCTATAATTAGTCTAGATACTTCTTTAAGAAAAATCTAGATACATTTATCTTCTAACTATCTAACACGAATCTAGATATTTCTATAATTTCCTATAAATATTTACTTCTCTAGAATATCTACACGGTTCCTAGATACATCAAATACTTAAGGTGTTACTCTACATAACTCTAGAAAGTTTTACTAAATATCTAGGATTATTTGTACCTCCAAAAAATTATCTTTAATTTTTCACAAAAGGTATTGATTTCATCATTGTTTTCCTTTATACTAATGATTTCATCTATACTAGCTCTTCTGTTACTCTTGTGGATGAGTTTAAGTCTCAAATGATGAATAAATTTGAGATGTCGGGCATGGTGTGTTACATTATTTTCTTGAAAGCTGCAGATGTAATATTTTTTCACCAAGAAAATTTCTCATCAAAATTGGTTCGCTCAATTGACAGTCTGCAGCTACACCTACAAATGTTGGTGAAAATTTCGAGATTAATGATGCAGTAAAGATGGATGATTCTAGAAGTATCATAAGACTAGTTGGAGGTTTAATTTATCGAACTCACATTTGTTTCGATATTTCATTTTTTGTTGGCGTCATTTTTCAGGTTTATGCATCAACCTTCAACGGTTCATTTTGGGGCAGCAAAATAAGTTTGGCGCCATATTGCTGGAACTATGAACTATGGGATTTGACACCCAAAAATTTCCAATTTGAAATTATGTGGGTTGAATTTGTTGGAGGATAAACGTAGAGTTTCATCGCATGTTTTTACTTATGAGTCAAGATTAATAAGTTGGAGCTCAAAGAAGCAAACTACAACAACCTAACATTGTCCACCTCTGAAGTTAACCGTTTACCAAGTCATATGGTTGAAACGTATGTTCGCAGAACTTCAAGATAAACAAGAAAGGCCAATAGAGATATACTGTGACAACAAAATATTTTTGTCATAATCCAAAATTTTCTCGGCAGAACCAAGAACAATGATGTTCACTTTCATTTCATTCATGAGTTGGTCTTAAATGAGGAGATAATATTAAAGCACTGAAACACTCAGGGACAATTAACTAATATACTAACCAAGTCTTTGGCGTCAAACAATTTTATTTATTTGAGGGCTTGCTTGGTGTCTGTAACTTTGAATCAACAGGTCGGAAAGTATTGATGACTGATTCAATGTGTGACTTGATCAATTTAGTAGTGTCCTATATTCTAGGGTCATGATGCAGTACTTTTATTGTTTACTGTTATTGATTAGTTGTTGCTTTATTAGTAATAGTGTTGGAATGTATGCTCCACTTATACAGATGGGATCAGAGCCTCAATACAGTAAAGCCATACAGTAAAGAACAAATGCAGAAACATAAAGATTGACAAGCAACTTTACATGATAACTTAGTGATTTAGTGTTTACTTATTTAGCCTATATAAAGGCATTATTTTCTTCAATTTAATAGATTGTAAAACCTGAGATTTCAGCACATATCCAATATTCTTAGACTTTGCATTTCTCTTTTTTACTTTTGCAGTCTATTTTTCCTCAACATGATTAACTTAACTTATCAAATAGAATAAGATCATGATAATATTAAAGAATAAGGCGAAAAGGTCTAGTCACAAAGTATAAGCTCCTATTTGACAATGGGTTTTGAATTTAAAACTTAAAAATTTGAGTTTTCCTTTTTACTTGTCTACTTTGACAAATAAAGAAAGAACAATTTTTTTTACGTATTATATCCTCAATTAATTAATTTTGAAAAAGGTAAAAATTCTTCAAAATCTTAAATTTTTAATTCATCAACTTCATAATTAATAGGGGTAAAATAGTAAACTCACTATGTCAATCATTGTTTTCCTAATACAATAGGTGTATCAATTCAAAAGTGGACAAGTAATTAAGGGCAAATGGAGTATCAACCTTGAAAATATAAATTTGACAAACATAGAAAAAACAAATAATTATTCATGTTCATTGATCAAATTAATTGATGAAAATAAATTTATCCATAGTCATTTATTGAAAACTTGACTTCAAAAATACATTAAATAAGAGTAAAATGATAAACTTAATTTCTTAAGGAGTGTGAAACCTAAAATGATAACAACTAAATAAGAATGGAAAGAATGAAACTGAATTGATTTTTAAAAACTTATAAATATTTAAAAATCAAATTTCATGACAAAAATATTTTTGAAATGTATAATCAAACACTAACTAAGTAGGCGTTTGGTCATGCGATACCATATCGCGATATGATATCGTGAGATGAAATTAATGTTTGGACACACGATTTTACGTTGATTCCATCGCATGATTCCATATCATGAGATTTGATTTAATATTCTCCAAAACCATGATATGAAATTATATGGTAATTCCATATCATGATTCGAGATATTTTAAAACAAAAATTGATTCACAAGTTTATATTTTGTTAAAAACAACCACACTTTTATATCTAATAATCATTTATTTCATATGTAAATAAAATTTATAATCACATTATTACTTCTTACAATGTATTATTCTCACCGACATAAAGTTTATTATTTTCACCAACATATAGTCACTTTAATTCACACTAACCGATTGTTGAGTAATAAATTTCTTTTGTTCATTTACTTCAACACCTAATTTATTATTTCTACCATTTTGTATTTATTACAACTATAGTTATATCTATTTGAACATAGACTGAAAGGCCTTCTCTTCATTTACTCTAATAAATTGATATGAAAATTAGGTTGGATAGGCTTAAATGCATAATTATTTATATTCAATCATAAAATCTTGAAGATCCCGTGAAAAGCGTTCTTTCCATTTACTTTAATATATTGATGAAGTGAAAGTTAGGTTGAATTGGCTAAATGCATAATTATTATGCTAAACAAAATTTTTTTAAACATGCAGTGAAAGGTATGTTCTCTATAACTCCAATAAATTGATGCACTGAAAGTTAGGTTGACAGCTTAGTTGGTAGGCTTAAATGCATATTTCTTTATGCTCAACCATAAAACTTTGAAGAGAGAAATAATTATGTGATAATATAGTTCTATATATAAAACAATCCATAGTTATATTCATTTAAACAAAAAAGCAGATGAAATTGACCTAAAAGTCTTCTATCATTTTCAAAGTAAGTTAAATATTCTCTACTCTTTCTATTTTTAATTTGTATGACTAGATTTATAGTTTTTTATAATTTGTTAACTAGATTTAGGAATAGATATAAATTTACTATGTTCATGTATTGCTAGTTACTTTGTTATATTGTTTTAAAAATTAAAATACAATGAAAATTCAATGATTGTGCCTCCACACTTGACAGGGTAAACATAAGCTAAAATTTTAATTAATACTTTGGTGTTCATATGAAATATTTTTTTTTTCAATTTCATGTAAATCAGAGTGAGTATATCAAATACAATTTTTTTATATTATTATTATATTGTAGAAACGAAAAGGAATGAGTAGGCCCCGAGATTCAAATGCTGAAAAATGGTTAGAAGAGGACATATCGTCCCTCAAAGAAGTCTTACATGATCATGAAAGAAAATATGTGTTTAATGGTTATAGAATCAGCGGTCCACGTTGGAGGGTAATCATTGATGAGTTTTGAACTAAAACTGACAAGCAAGACAATTATGATAAAAATCATATTAAGACAAAATATAGGGCATTAAATAAAGATTTAATGGATTTTAAGGACTAGCTTTAGTCTTGTTACGGATATGGTTGAGATTCTGAAACAAACTCAATCACTTGTCCTTCTGATATTTGGAGACACATGTGGCAGTAAGCTTGTTTGATTAGTATTGTGTAGTTTTCTTTTTCACTATGTGACTTTTTTCATAAAATGTGACATTTTACTTTATATCTTTATTAGGAATAAAGAAAAAAATGTTAAAATATTTCCAAGTTCAAATTTAAAGGACTTAATAACTATAAACTATTGGATGAATTTTTTTGAAAATAAATTGTCACATGTAACCAGTACAATGCATGTTTCACAACCAGGAGTAGGTGAACCTGTTGAAGTGGAGGATGAAATATTTTCTTGTGACAAAAATCCTTTTAATAATGAAAAAGTATATCAGCTTATGAGTGTGAATGCCGATAACGATAATTGCAGTGGAGAGCGGACTGCATGTGACGTATCACATCTTCTTGGCGTAAAGTAAAATAGACCGACAACAATCGAAGGCAAATTTAATGATTTGAAGGACCACATTGAAGTGAAAGAGAGATAAAGAGTAAGCAAAATAAAGAGAGAAACGTAAAACGGGAACAAGCACAATCTTCAACATATAATGAGATTAATATCTACTCTGAGCAAGTTGTGATTATTCAACTGCAAAATCTCATAACTAAGCATAATATTGATAAAAGACAATTTTCATTGGTGGTGCCACACTTTCTTAATCTTAATATTACCAAAATTGTCATTCACTTGAAGAATATCAAGTCCAATGGATTGAGGACTTAGGAAAATTCTGATCAACTAGTTATTAATATTTCGTCAAGTGAACTAGTTACAATTTTTTTAATTAAATTTTGTTAGAAGTGTTTAATCAAACTTGTGGGAGCCAATGGTTCGGTTCAGTAGTTAAAAATGATAACTTTTTAAAATTTTGTTATTCTATAATATTTGACTATTGATTTTCTTGTAAATAGTTAGAAGTCAGTGATGTTTGTTAATTTTTATCTTAGTGTATATAATTTCTAAGATAATATTTACTCACTAATGTATGTCTTTTTTGTACTTTATAGGTTATTCGTAAGAGTAGTTAAAACATATGAGCATATCAAGTGCTAGTGAGTCTGATAGCGACATTGAGGATATTATTTTCTGCGTTGCAGCAGTTGAACATATCAAACAAGTCAAACGAGAACATAGGTTATTACGTCGAACACAACAACATACATCTAGGCCTGGTACGGTGTGGATCAATGACTTCTTTGTGGACATTGCATGCATATTATGAATCTATGCGGTTTTATATATCTTGAAATATTTTGTCTGTTTGTTAGTTCGATCAAACAAAATAACTTGTTGTCAATTGTGCATCGGACCACATGAGTTCAAATTGAGGAGGCTTTGGATATTTTTCTAACCATCATTGCATGAAATGATAGTCAATAGTCGACAAGTAAATCTTTTCAACATCACTTGAAATAATTAACCGGCATGTTAAAACGATTGTCGAGGCAATTATCAAGATGATAACAACATTTATACAACCAAAAACTATGGCAGGTGTACATTTCAAATTCGTCATAATACTCGGTTTTGGCCTTGTTTTAATGTAAATTTTTAAACATATTAATAATTTTATTTAATGGCATTAATAAGTGCACATTTACATTTTATGTGTAAGTTATTAGTATTTAGTTACATATTTTCTATCAGCTTTATTTAAAATTGCATTATCTTGGAAGCACTATATCTATTACTCTTATTAACAATATTATTTTTATGAAGTTCATTCTATAATACTTCCAATTTATTTTTATGTTCACTAAATTAATATTGATGTATTTTTTATTTGGTAGGATTGTGTTGGTGCAATTGATAAAACATATATAGAAGGGGACGTTCCTAAAGGAGTGCAACAAGCATATGATAATCGCAAAAGGAAGAACATCACAAAATGTCTTTTGTGCTTGTGATTTTCATATGTGATTTACCTTTGTTGCTACTGGTTGGGAAGGTACAACACATGATAGTAAATTACTTGAGAATGCACTTGTTGAAACAACGTCACAATTTCCATTTTTGCCACATGGTAACTTTGAATTACATCCTTAGAATAAATATTATTTATTTACACAAAGCTCTATCATTTACATCACACACACTTTTGGTAATTCTTTATAAATTGTTTGTTGGTAGACAAAAATTATGTTGTTGATGCTGATTTTCGAAATATCGAAGGACTTTTAGCTCCATAGAATGGACTGCACTATCATTTATAAGATTACCGAGGAAGTGAAAGAGAGACTCAAAATGTCGAAGAACTATTTAATTATAGGTATTCATCTCTGTGCAATGTGATTGAACGGACTTTTGAAGCTTGGAAAAATAGATTTAGAATAATGAAACAAGGCATGAACCATTATGATATTGATATACAAGTGAAAATTGTCATAGCGTGTGCAGTGTTACGTAATTATTTGCGAGAATATCAAAGTATTGATGAAATATTTATGGTCTATGAGCATGAAAATAGAGATACAGATGATATTGACCAACAAATGACTCAAAGTAACAATGTTGGTTCGTCTTCTTGGTCACATGATTGAGAAATGCAAGTTCAACGTGAGGAAATTGTCCGTACTATGAAGAGTATTATATTAAAGGATAGTATACTACAATTTATGTTTATTATTTTAGTTAAATTTAAGTTAGATGAAACAATTACTTAAGTGGAGAAAAAATAACTTTGTAATAATTTATTATGAAATAAGATTGAATAAACAATTTGGGTTATTTTAATAGTTTTACAACTTATGAAATTTTTATTATGAGAAAATATACAACACAAAAATTTTATATCGCGTGTCCCAACTAAACTTAAATTCCATCTCATAATATCATATCATCATACCATACCATGATTCTATATCATGATACAATATCATGATTCCATATCATGACACTATATCGCATTCCAAACAAAACTTCAATTCCATCTCATAATCTCATATCATGATTCTTTATCATGATACTATTGAATTTTAAAAGTGTGAATGGAAAATGAAGAGTTGCGACTTTTATGAAAGGTTGCAACTTTATAAAAAGTTGTGACTTTTATGAAAAGTTTTGACTGTTATGAAAGGTTTTGATCTTTCCTAAAGATTGTAACTTTTTTGAAGGTTCGTGACCTTTCCTGTAAGGCACAATAAGAACCTTTTTACACCATCCTTTGTTTCTATAAATTGAGGAATTTCCTCTCATTTTAAATATAGAATTTCTGGACATCTTCTACTATTACTAAATCTAGTATTCTAAGTATACTTTACTGCCATTGAGTGGCTCGGTGACACCAGCATTTTGGGTATCACTACACTGGTGATTGAGATCATTCTATCCTGGGAGGACATATTCCAAATCAAACATCGGATACTAGAGGGGAACAATTTCTTTAAGGGGACACTGTGCATTCATTGGGCTTGATCTTCTTTCTGTTTTTTTTCAGATTTTGGTATATATTACAAATTTTAGATTTGTGCATTAATTTCTGTTCTTCTGTTCTTCAGTGGTTCATTAAACTTTGGTAACTTCGTATTTCTGCAAAGTTTGTTGGAATTAGTTAGATTCTTCAAACACATATTAACAACAATTCTTCTTTAAGAAAAATATTTCATATAATTATTTCTAATTTTTTTCTGATTTTAGATTCTCTACTATTTTTAATTTTCTAGTTGAGAAAATGTTCTTAAAATTTGTTGTTTTACAAAGTTCTTCAAAGTTTTGTTCTAAGTATGTTAAGAATACAAGATGAACAACAATCTTAAGGAAATTATTATATTGTTGGTATTTCTTGTATTCTATTAATTGGTTGGAATATTTTGATTATGAAAGTAGAATATTAATATATTAATTTTCCTCAATTCGGTGTTTTGTTTAGCAAAATCGAAGTGAGAACGTAACATAAATTTTTTTGGTATACCGGTTAAAGATTACTCCAGGTAACTTTCTTATTATTTATTTAAGGAGAAAAATAGTTTCTAGTTCACCATTTTGATTTTTTATCCTGTGTATCTTCGGAAAAATATTTACAAACTATATGTTGTGTGATGAATTTTTCTTGACAAATAGTTTCCCTTTAAAATTATTTAGCTTGCAAAATGAGAGAGATGCACATTTTTGTTTGATAAAATAGTATTGTCAAAATGTTATAGTTGGAAGACTATTTGAAAAGAAAAACATTTCTATGTGATAAATAAATATGTTTATTATGTTTGGAGACTAAAAAACTTTTGTAGTTTTGTAGTTTTTGTGAATTTGATTATGTCTGATTGTTGTGGATGAAAAACTTTTTTAGTTTTCTACTCTGAATAAATTAGACTATGCAATTGATTTGAAGAATATGAAAACTTTACCTACTAAGTTTGTGTTGTACTTTTGATTTCTATAAATTTCACTGTTATATAGAGACATTCTAAATACTAAGTGGTATATCTATTTGTGATAAAGAAAAAAAGACTAGTGACTTAGAGTTGGTGAGTTTGTGCCTCTATAGAATGAACTTTGACATTATGTAAAGATTGTGAAAGAGAATTGAAACTCCATAATTATTTCGTAGAATAATATTTTCAAAAGAGGTTTCATACTGCCAATGACATTTTGATAGTCTGAGTAAATATGTGGAAAATCTATTTTCAAATGCTTGAAAAATATTTTTGAGATCACATTTAAAATGTGGGGGTTCTTTGCTTATGATCAAAATAAAACTAGACTAGGTGTCTAACTTAATTTTGAAGCAAAAGATATGAAATTGAATGATACTTTTTTATTATGTTAGACCCACAAAATTCTTGAAGTATCTTTGGTATTGTGGTTATTGAGTTTCTCTATTATTAATATATGGTGTGACTAGTAAGAAACTACCAAATTATATATACTTGTTCAAAATAATTGTGTTCTTTTATGAAAAAGTATCACTTAAAGCGTTATAATTTTTCATGAAAATATATGTCTATTATAATAAAAGCATTTTCATAGACATGAATGTTGGTGAATAGTCATTTGTTATGTTTTTGTAGAAGAAACATTTGAACTATATTGCCTTTATTGGAACTGATGAAACTTTGTTGATGGGTAAGCTCTATAACAATCAAACTGAAAGTTATGGAAATGTCCTTCTGACAAGGTGATGACTCTAAAAAATGCTTGTATCACACAAAATTGTAAGAAATAGGAACAAAATATTAGTGAAAAAAAAAGTTACCTCGCGAAGAGCTTTTCAAACTCAATATTTTTATTTTTTCTTACATGTTTGAGTCAAAGTTGGTGACATGAGCATTTGGGGCATGTCAATTACAAAGCCTTGTAAGGAAAACTGATCAATTTAGAATATTTGTCTAACTTTTAGTGCAATAAATAATAATGTCAAATTTGTAAGAAATATAAGTTTGTTGAGCATTCTTATAAATCTGTTGAAACGAATTCTAGTCCATTAGAATTAATTTACACTGACATTTGTGATATGAATTCAACACCATCTCATGGTTGGAAAAAGTATCTTGTTACTTTTATTGACAATTGCATTAGAAACGACTATGTCTATTTGCTGAATGGTAAAAATGAAGCAATTGAAATGTCTAGACAATGTAATGTCGAAGTTGAAAATCAATTGGAAAATGATAAGAAGTGATAAGAATGGAGAGTATAAATCTCCTTCTATAGAAATATGTTTGGAAAGTGGAATTATCCATCAAATTGTTGCTCTATTCAACTCAATCTAATGAAAAACCGAACATTAAAAGAAATAATGGATCGGGTTTTACCACAAAACTTATGGAGGAACAATCCTTGCTGCAAAAGGGAACAACAAAAAGTTGTCTTTTTAGAAAGAATTCAAAGTGTGGGGGTGTATATTGATACGCTCAAACTGTACTTCCCTAAAGAAGTATAAGCGGTTGTATCAAGTAAAGAATCCAAATGTTAGGTTGGGGTCGATCCCACGAGGAAAATGGTTTAGACTTATCTTTAATCTACTATTACTTCTATTTAGTCAAGTCCTTTCCGGAAACAAACAATTAAAAGGGGGATTTTATGTAACAAAAGTAATTAATTAAGTCTAAGTAAACAAGTAGCTAGTTCAAATATTTGATGTTTATCAAATGATGAGAGAAACTAGGGTATAATTGCTCCCCGTAGGTTCATAACGCAGTAACCATAGCTATAACAACTCTTTCCTAGTATCATGCATGCAAAGTGGTAAGTTATTTATCCCTAATTCATTGGTCCGGCAACTAGTGAATTTCAATCCGCACCTTGGTCCGGCTACATGTGTGTACTTTACTAAACCTTATCTGATACCTCCTATTAAGCACCATAATCGATGTATGACTTAGTGATTACTTCGCACCAATCGACACTAGCCTATTAGATAGTGTATATTAAATCTACGTTGATAATTCTTTTCTTATTATCTACCTCCTTGGTACGACAAGTAGCAACAAAGCGAATTCTAACGTTGGCCACCGTTAAAAAGACTTCTAAACGAAAGAATTATCAATACATTCAAGACACTATTCTAGAATTGTTATTTAGCTAGTTCTACTTTGTTAGTTACCCATGATTCAGACAACCCTAGTTGTGGATTTAGTTACCTATATTACGAATTAAACAATTCATATTGATTAGACAAGAATTCATGTACTTACTTTAACAAGTTTGAAGAAAATCCAGAAAATCACTTGAATTAATCAAAATATTGTAAGAATCGATTTTAGAAGGGTGTAATATTTTTCAAAACCCAAAGTTCAACAACCAACAATACAAATCTCAAAATTAACAAAGAGTCTAACCCCAAAAATGAGGTTTTTAGTACTATTTATAATAAAAAAAGTCCTATAAATAAAGAGAAACTTAAATAAGGAAAACTTTTGTCCAAGATGCGTCTCGAGTCGACGACCTCACCGACGGACGTCGGCGCCTCCTTTGGTCCATACTTCAACTCTTTTTCAGCTGCTATCTTCTCCATCATTCTATTAGCATCGACGGACCCAAACGATGGTTCCTCAATGGACCTACGGTCCGTCGATAACCTTCGTTGCTCCATACTTAGAATCTTATAAAAATTAGGTACTGGGGCTACATTCTTTTAGCACCAACAGTTTGCCAGGATGGTCCGTCGATGAGACGACGGACCGTCATCCCTTTGATAGCCCCACACTTAGTCAGAATTCCCCGATCTTTTCTTAGAATCATACATCTTCAAACGACAGTTGACACCTTATGGACCGTCGATGGCTTCGTAGGTCATCACTTCTGCAAATTTCAGTACAGTCTTCAACGTTTTTGTTTTGGACAATTTTTCTGAAAACACATATAAAAGTACATTAAAACTACTTCAAAGAGGTGAGAAGCGGCCAATACATGTTCATCAGGGAAAGTATCATCAATTTCAGCCTTTTCACCCAATTCTTGCGTAGCTTTATCCTCTAGTCGGGACAAGTTATCAGCAATTTAATTTTTTCTGTCCCTTTTCTATCTTTCACTTCAAAGTCAAATTCTTGCAACAGTAATACCCAAAGAATCAACCTCGGTTTTGGATCCTTCTTTGTCATCAAATATCTCAAGAAATAATGATCAGTATGCACTATAACTCTTGTGTCAAACAAATAGGAGCGAAATTTCTCGAAAGCAA